GCAGAAATGGCAGGTGGGGAGGGGGGAGTGTTTAGCAGCAATTGGGATCAGCTGAATGGAGGGGAGGTGGAGGGAGGTGTGGAGGCGTGGAGGCCTGGAGGCAGGGTGTGTGTGTAGAGGGGGGTGGGGTGGGAGGGAAACGAAGGCAGAAACCCAGGAGCTGAAAGCCGAAGGGTGGTCGGTGGGTGTGGGGACCCTGGCGGCTGCAGGGCTGCCCTACACATGATGAGGCCAGCTGGGCCCAGGATATTAGTAAAATGGCGCAGTCTTATCTGTGGCACCATCTATGCCTCAGACGCCATTTTAGGCCTTGGCCGCAGTCGTCACCTTGCATAGTAGGCTTTGGTCCTAACCCCCATGGCCCAACCACCGGTGTCAACTCCACCCCCACCCTAATGGGATTTGCTGCTCCTACTTCCCTGCCTGCCCCAGCAAAGGTTTAACAAGACCTGTTCCCGAACATGTGCTCTCCCTCAAGCTCTCTTACTCCCACCGGACAGTAAACCTTTCCTCTAACTTGGTGTTTGGTGTGTTTTGTGGTGGCCATACACAGGACACGATTACTGTCACCAGATAAAGGAACCTTGGTGACCCCATTTAATCAGAAATCTCACGCAGTGTGCACTTTTTATTATATTTTAGTAGTATCATTGGTATTTTTGCTAAGTATTCAATATAAAATTATTTTTCTTGCATCTTCTGGCCTGCCCATAGAATCTCTGGCCCACCCTAAGCAACAGGTCTAGTTAGGGGTGTTTTTGGGGTGCAGTGTGCAGAAAAAATAGAAAACATGGTGTGGGGCTGGAGCTGTGGCGCAGGGTGTAAGCGGCCACTCGGGATGCTGGCAGTCTACAGCAAAGTGCTGGTTTGTGTCCTGGCTGCTCTGCTTCCCATCCAGCTCCCTGCTAATGCACCTAGGAAAGCAGCAGAAGATGGCCCAAGAGCATGGGCCCTGCTACCCTGTGGGAGAACTGGCTGGAGTCCCAGGCACCAGTCTTTGCCCTGGCCCAACCCTGGGCCATTGTGGCCATTTGAGGAGTGAAACAGCGGAAGGAAGATCTCTCTCTTAGTCTCTCCCTCTTTCACTCCACCTCTCTGCCTTTCAAATAAATACTTCTTAAGAAACCAAAAGACTTTGGCATGAAGTGCATTTCTCTCAACAAAGAATCTTGCATTGAGCTTTGGGACTGAACTCTTGGTTTTATTGTTAACCCCTTTTTTTTTTTGGCAGCAGGGGGTGGGTTTTTGTTGTTGTTGAGGTTTTGCTGTAGGCGTCCAAATGTTTGCAGGAAACTTGAATAAGATAAGAGATTAACAAAAATGCCTGCCAAGAACTTGACCACACCTGCGGCGGTTGATTGGCTTGCTGTCTCCTGGACTGCCTGCCCCTCACTGGTCCCAGGGAAGAGCCCCTAACTCTCGGGCCTCAGTGGCAGGGCTAGTGTTTTCTTTTTAATGCACTGTTCATTTGAGAACACTTTAGATTCATGAAAAAAAACAAAACAAAACAAAACAAAACAAAAAAAAACAAAAAACAGAGCAGGTAGCACAGAGCGCTTCCCTGTACCTCATACCCTGGTCCACGCCGTGGATGTCTTGCATTAGCATGACGCGTCTGTCACAGTTAGTGAGTTGGTACGGAGAGATTATTAATAATTAAACTGCATACTTCCTGTACATTTCCCTAGTCTTTACCTAACGCCTTCTTTCTTTTCCCGAATCCTGCCCATCACCCCGCATTACATGCCCATCCTTCATCTGACGGGCACTCAATGTCAGGTTGCCGCCTGGCCTCTGCCACTCGAGTGGACCATCAATCACCCGGCTGTTTGCTAGGATTCTCCACTGTAAGGTTATGGCTTTTCTTTTGCTGTTATTGTTCCTCACCTTTTTCATACTGTACTCTTTGGAAGGAAGCCACTGTGAACAGAGTGGGAGTTCCTGCTCTGTGCCCCTGAAGGCAGAATATCCGCGGTTTTTATTGGGAATTCTACACAGATTTGTCTGTTCGCTCTCATTCATTTATGTATTCAAGCATTTCTTTATGTCACTGTGGACTTAGGGAAGTTTCTTTTCTACTTTGTGTTAGAATCCAATGCTCCTTGGCCGGCGCCGCGGCTCACTAGGCTAATCCTCCGCCTTGCGGCGCCGGCACACCGGGTTCTAGTCCCGGTCGGGGCGCCGGATTCTGTCCCGGTTGCCCCTCTTCCAGGCCAGCTCTCTGCTGTGGCCAGGGAGTGCAGTGGAGGATGGCCCAAGTCCTTGGGCCCTGCACCCCATAGGAGACCAGGATAAGTACCTGGCTCCTGCCATCAGATCAGCGCGGTGCGCCGGCTGCAGTGCGCCAACCGCGGCGGCTATTGGAGGGTGAACCAACGGGAAAAAGGAAGACCTTTCTCTCTGTCTCTCTCTCTCTCACTGTCCACTCTGCCTGTCAAAAAAAAAAAATAATAAAAAAAAAAAAAAAAAAAGAATCCAATGCTCCTTGATTTTGTGGCTCAAATCATTCCAGTTTGGGCCACTGGAAGCTCCTTCAGGTGGGCCCTGTACACCCCCATCTTCCTGTTGCTTGCTTGCTTGCTTGTTTGTGTAGCACCTGCTTATGCACAGTTCCTGCCCCAGTCCTAGGATCTAGCACATCTCCAGAGAACGGCAGCCACGGTTCGATCCTAGTAAATGTGGGTCTGCAAGAGGAGAGGGGCCAGAGTGAGACCCACCCCACCCAGAGGAGAGCGCTTTCCCAGCAGCGGCAGCCAGAATTGCGAGTCTTCAGCTGAGACAGAGGTGACTCACCAGCTCCCCAGGTTGTCCCCTCCCTACCCCTTCCCTAAACCAGCTCACAAGGAGGGACCTAGGTCAGAAGTGTCCCCACCCATGAGGCCAGAGAAGAATGGTTGTCTCAGGCCAAGTCAGGGCTTTACTCTTCCCAGCAGACATCTCCCCCCGTTTGTGTCCAGACTGTACCCTCTCCCCCACTGCAGGCAGGATTAAACAGGCTTATCCCCAAATGCACAGCTACAATAAAGCTATTGTTGAAACCCAGGTAAAGGACAAGAGCTCGTATGTGTGTTGTGCGTGTGTGTGTGTCCCTGTGTGTGCAGTAATTTTGTCCCAGACACCTGGGCTGGCGGCTTCCCTGGGATCCCCAGATCCCAGGTTGCCAGCATCACCAGGGTCTCAGAGATAAACTTCACCTGTCATTTACAGTGCGGAGACAGAGGAAGTGATTTTGAGGAGTCCACAGCTGGTGAGCTGAGACAAGTCTCCAGATGCCCAGGTCTTTGAAATTTCTCTTCCTGGGCCGAAGCTGTGGCGTAGCGGGTAAAGCCACCCCCTGCAGTGCCGGCATCCCATACGGGCGCTGGTTCGAGTCTCGGCTGCTCCTCTTCCGATCCAGCTCTCTGCTATGGCCTGGGAAAGCAGTGGAAGATGGCCCGAGTCCTTGGGCCCCTGCACGCACGTGGGAGACCCGGAAGAAGCTCCTGGCTTCGGATCCGGCAGTTGCAGCCAACTGGGGAGTGAACCAGCGGATGGAAGACCTCTCTCTCTCTCTCTCTCTCTCTGTAACTCTTTCAAATAAATAAATAATTTTTTTTTAATCCCTCTCCCTTTCCAGGAGAGCAGAAGGAACAACTTTTGGATGTTCTGGGCAGGATACATCTGGGCAGGATGGGAGGCCAACACTTCAGGCCCCTCTTACTCATCAGATGAAGAAACACACGTGGCTGTGTCTGAGAAGTCCTAAAGGCCTGGGGCTTCAGTTAGGAATGATTGGCCTCCCCATGTGTGCAGACACAAGGCATGTGGGTGTGGACGTGGGTAGTGGGGATCCTACCAGTTCCCCAAAGCTAAGATTTTAACAGCTAAGTCATCTACTTTCTAGCTGCTGTCTTCTCATTTGGACTTAATAATAATAATAATAATAATAATAATAAAGAAAAAGAGAGAGAAAAGAGAAAGAAAGAAGACAGAGGGGAGAAAAGAACGAGAGAGAAGGGGAAGAAAGCAAAGACAAGGCAGGAAAGTAAAGAACAGGGCTTTTCAGGTATTTTCCAAAAGATGCAGATATTTGGATCGTGGATTTTTATACTACCAACTCTCAAAAATGAGACTGGCTCTTTTCCTTATATTCGTTGTCTCTCCTCCTGTCCCCCCCCCCCCAACTCTCCATGGCTGACTCCCTGGGTGAGACACTCCAGTGATGTCCCATGGCTGAGGCAGACAGCCTGGGGACCAGGGAAAGCGTTCTGGGCCTGGTGTCACTGGTGTGGTGGTGTGGCCGCAATCAAGAGCCAAAATGAGCGTCGTGGCTTGCTCTCTGGGTGACCTTTCCAGGGTTACCTGGGAGACCTGTCGGTGTGCAGACTCCTTCCAGGGCAAGGCCAGTGGGTGGCCCCGAAGAGCATCACCTGCGTGCACAGGTGGTTATTATGCACTTGAGATGGTGATGAAGATAGTAGTGCCAAGTTAGAAAGCATGCGAGCCGGGGACTGTCCTTGGAACATCCTTCCAGCCGGCCTTCTGCTGCTGAGCGGAGCGGGAGTGCTGAGGCCTGCGCTCCGGCGGGCTCCAGCCACAGCTCCTCCGCCACAGCGAGCACCGGCCATTGTCGCCTGCTGGAGCGTCTGTGCGCCTCTGCCGTCCGTGTGTTCTAACGCATTCTTCTTTCATAAAATCACCATCCTGACTTTTAAACACTGTTCAGACATAGGTATGGATTTTTGTGTTAACTTGGAAAAGGTTCAGTTCGAGCGTTTGTTTAATTTGAACAGGCAGAATTTATGTGTTCTGCAATGTCGCCCCTCCTCCAAACAATAAATCCTGGATGTCCACCTCCGGCATGGTACCTGGAGCTCGGTGTGTTGGGTGGCAAGGCTTTGTCTTCGCAGCCACCCGCTGCCTCGCCACCTCCCGCCCGGCCTCCTCCGCTCCGCAGCCGAGGGAGGTCCCGGCCGGTGGGCGGCGCCCGGGGCCGCTCGGGACATGCAAATGAGGGGGCGGGGCGCTATATATACCCGCGGGTAGCGCCGGGCGGGCGAGCGCTGCCGGCACCCTGTCGGTCGGAGGCAGCCCGTGGAATCTGCTTCCCTGAGCGCAGCGGAGCCTGGTCCCGGGCTGGCCCCTCTGCTGCCCCCGGAGCGGGCCATGCCGCCGCGGGAGCTGAGCGAGGCCGAGCCGCCCCCTCTCCGGGCCCCGACCCCTCCTCCGCGGCGGCGCAGCGCGCCCCCGGAGCTGGGCATCAAGTGCGTGCTGGTGGGCGACGGCGCGGTGGGCAAGAGCAGCCTCATTGTCAGCTACACCTGCAATGGGTACCCCGCGCGCTACCGACCCACGGCACTGGACACCTTCTCCGGTACGTTCAACGTCCCTGGGACCGCGCGGCTCGGGGTGGGGTTGTCGCGGCGGGAGGACGCGGGGGGGGGGGGGCATCCCGGGGAGCCGGCGGAGAGCGGGCCCCGAGGTGGCGCTCGTGAGGCCTGGTGGGGCCGAGGGCGCTCTTCCTAACTCGGGCTTTCCCCGCCCCGCCCCTGCAGTGCAAGTCCTGGTGGATGGCGCCCCGGTGCGCATTGAGCTCTGGGACACAGCGGGACAGGTGAGAAGCTGGGCGCGGCAGAGGGGTGGGGTGGGGAGAGGGGGGAGGGCTGGGGGAGAGGTGGGCTGTTGGAGGAGGCCTTGGTCTCCTGGAGTCGCAGGTCTTGGGCCCCAGAGGAGAAGCGGATTCCTGTTGTGTGTGGCGGGGAGTTAACCCACTAACGCCCTGCCTGGCCTTGCCACCGCAGGAGGACTTCGACCGGCTGCGTTCCCTCTGCTACCCGGACACCGATGTCTTCCTGGCGTGTTTCAGCGTGGTGCAGCCCAGCTCCTTCCAGAACATCACAGAGAAATGGCTGCCCGAGATCCGCACCCACAACCCGCAGGCGCCGGTGCTGCTGGTGGGCACCCAGGCCGACCTGAGGGACGATGTCAATGTACTGATTGAGCTGGACCAAGGCGGCCGGGAGGGCCCGGTGCCGCAGCCGCAGGCCCAGGGTCTGGCGGAGAAGATCCGGGCCTGCTGCTACCTCGAGTGCTCGGCCTTGACGCAGAAGAACCTGAAGGAGGTGTTCGACTCGGCCATTCTGAGCGCCATCGAGCACAAGGCCCGGCTGGAGAAGAAGCTCAACGCCAAAGGTGTGCGCACCCTGTCCCGCTGCCGCTGGAAGAAGTTCTTCTGCTTTGTTTGAGAAGCGGCGGTCGACGGATGGGGTGGGGGCCAGAGACTCCTGGAACATGGGGCGTGGGGCCTCGTGGGGCCTGGCCGCCCCGGGGGGGGGGGCACAGTTCCCCTGTGTGCACTGTGGGGACATGGGCCTCTAACTGCCCACTCTGATAAGCCAGGGGGAGCCCAGGGCCCGGAGCAGGGAAGGCTCCGGTTTGGATTTCTTTGGTCAAGGCTCACAGAGCAAAATCTAGCACTTTGATTTCTGACAGGGTCGTCCCAACAGTGTCAGTCACCCCTGAGCCGTTCGGGACCCAGTTCCCAGTTTTGTGTCATGGGCCTGCAGGTCAGCCTCCTCGGCCCACGGGCAGCAGGAGTCCCGGTGGGCTGGAAGATGGCCAGCCATGGCCGGGAGACAGGCAGGGATGGCATGGGTAAGGCGGAGGCCAGTGAGAGGTTGAGAGAGGGAGAAGCAGGTGAAGCCTGGGAGCGTGGGACTGGAGGCTCAGCCGAGGGCTGGGCTCGGGAGGAGGAAGGCGAGGAGCAGAGCAGGGGAGCGGGGCTGCGAGGAGCTGCTGACACCCGTGCTGCCCTCAGCCCGCAAGGCCAGGGAGGGCGGGGCTGGGCCCTGGGAAGAACTGGGTCTCAGGGCTCCCCAGGCACTGCCCAAACTGGCTGGGCCAGGAGCGGGGCAGGAAGTGAGAGTCAAGGCCCAGCGAAGGGAGGGGGAGGAGCTGCCAATTAGAGCCTGAAGGAGGAAGGGTTTGGGGTCATCCCTTTCCCTAAGGTCACAGCCTAGGAGGTAGAGCAGTGCAGAGGATGCAAATAAAACCTTAAGTTTCTGAAGCTGCTGTCTCTGTCCTTTCCTGGATTGCTGGACCGTTCGCTCCCTCATGTCCCTCACCAAGGCCCAGGGCCCTGGTCAGATGGATTGGGCACCAAAGGACTGAGGCTAGGTTGAAGGGTGGGGCCTGGCCCAGGAGGGACAGTGTGCTGGGAACTGCACTTGGCGGGGGGCAGGTGTGGGGCTCCCTGCTTGGGGCTTAGCTGGTTCCCAGGACAGCTAGCGTGGGAAGCAGCCTGGAAACGGGTTTCCCCAGGTGTCAGTGCCAGAGCTGCTTTCCCATGACCTCACCAGGTGGGTGGGGCACCCTTCGCTCTCTGTCTCCTAGCTAGAGCACAGCGCTCAGCTGGGGCAATCCCAAGCCTTCTAACCTGCTCCGATCCTTCTGACAGTGCATGGGGCGCAGGGACTCAGGGTGGAGGACCCTCCCTCCAGTTCTTAACTTGAACATGAAGGGAACCCTGTACAGCCTTAAACCTCAACCGCTGGCCCAGGTGTTCCTCTCTGGCAGGTCAGGACCCATGGAAGGGTCGGTGTTGAAGGGCCTATACGAAAGTGTTCTCTCTGCGGGTACAAGGGGCAGATATCCAGAGACCACTGCCTGGAGTTGGAGCTGGAAGGGTTTTTAAAGGGCATGTTGGAGAGAACAAAGCCAAACACAGACTTACAAGGAACTAGGCTCAGAGAACAAGGGTGGTATCCCACGTGAGGTGTTAGTACCAAGAGGTTGTAAGGGTGCTTGGCGTGGTGTTATTCCTGTAGAGATATTTCTGAGGCACACCTGGACACCTGCTGAGGTGGGCGCTCACACCCATGCCAGTCTGCCGGGCCTAGCTCCCTCTGCTGGGTGAATGTGTGTGTGAAAAAGAGCATGGCTGAGGGACAGAAACTGTAGCCAAGTGAAACCTCTGATAATCCCAAGTTTGGTTTTACTCAAGCCCACATCCTGCCCCGCCAGAGCCTGCCCCGCAGAGCTCCAGCCACCTTGCCTCCTGTTGTGCCCGTGCTGCTGGCCTGGGATGGCCGGGTCTGGAGGCCTCTCAGTGAGAGCCCAGGCTGACACATTCCCTTCAGGAGCAGAGACCCTGGCTTCAAGTTCAGGACATGACACCAGCCATGACCTCAGGCAAATCAGTTCCCTTCTTTGTGCCTCAGTTTCCTGGTTTGCAGAGTGAGACTCAGGACTCTGAGTGGATTAGGGAGTTTTTAAACTGCCCAGGGCCTGGGAGGTACCGCAGGGAGGGCCACAGAAGCCTACTCAGGTGGTCTCGGGCTCCCCTCCTGCCATCCCTCTCCATTCCCTCATGGTCCCCGCACATCCGTGGCACTCAAAGGGAAAGCTGTCCTGCTGGGTCTTTGAGCCTGGTGAGGCCGCCACAGCCTTGGCCTGCGTCCTGCCTCTGTGGCTGCCCACTGCCACCCGTCCTGTGCAGCTGCTCTCTCTCTGACACCTTGTAGCTCCAGGCCATCTCTGGCTCTCAGCTCCTAGCAATGAAGGCCTCACATCTGACAGCAGCCCGCAGCAGCTCCCTCCGTCCATCCCCATCTACCACCTGCTGGCTTATCCCCCAGTTATCTCCTGGCCCCCTGACTGGGCTGGGCTTTCTCCAGCTAACCCCCCCCACCAGGACCCAGATCCCCCCCTCACTCCCAGACATCCTGTGTCTCCTGCCTGCCTCCCGACACCTCCCTGGGCACACCGAGGGCACTGAGCTTTGCTGCAGACTTGAGCTGCAGCTCCCCAGCTGCGTGGAGAGCCAGAGGAAGCCCCGCACACGCTTTTATGCTCCCATGGGGTCTTGCCCTCAGCCCAGGTCTGCTGAGGGGTGAAAGCCCGTGAGCCCTGGGGGGGCGGTGAAACACGCTGAGGCTCACGGCCGGAGCCTGGGCAGGGCCAGGGAGGGTGACCTCGGCTTCCAGACCCCCGGCTCTCTCTGCCTCCCCACTAATATGCTCACACTCTAATTCTAGGGAGTGCTTTGATTTCTCTCTCTGACTCTCCTTTGTCTCATTTCCCCTTCATTCTCTACTCTCAAGTCTATATTTAAAGGACTATTATGTTCATTGGATAAATTTGTGTTTACTTACTTATGTCCTTAAATCAATGTTTTTTTTTAATTAAAAAAATTTATTTGAAAGGCAGATGGTGGCAGGGTGGGGGGAGAGAGAGAAAGAGAGAGAGGGAGAAAACTTGCTGGTTCACTCCCCAAATGGTTACAATAGCTGGGGCTGGGCTGGGGCTGGGGCTGGGGCTGGGGCTGGGCCAGGCTGAAGCCCAGAGCCCTGAACACCATCCAGGTCTCCCCCATGGGTGTCAGGGGCCCAGGCACTTGAGCCATCTTCAGCTGCTTTCCCAGGTGCATTAGCAGGGATCTGGATGGGAAGTGGAGCAGCCGAACCTCAAACCTGCACCCATATGGGATGTCTGCAATACAGGTGGTGGCTTAACCTGCTGTGCTGCGATGCTGGCCCTATGCATATGTATTTTAACATTTTTTTGTGATCATGCTGCAGATACAATTTTATACATATTTTTTCATTTAGAATGTTGTGCTCTTTCATTTCATTGTAAAGTCTGGAAATGAGACTACCTACATATGTTTTTGCTCAATATTTCACACCAACCTTGCTTTCTTTAGCTGGATCTGCATTGGGGGGCTTTTAGGTTGTTATCCATTTTTTATTATTATTATTATGAGTGACACATGTGCAGTTGCAGAAGGTTTGGAGACTGGGCCCGATATGATGGCCAGCAACTCTTCCGAGGGTGCTGGGTTTCTGTGTGCATGACTCTGGGCCTGACTGGTGGGTGTTCAATAAATACTAGGCGATGACACGGTGAGCATCTGTTGGCGTCCACGCTGCTTCCTCTGTCGCCCTGCTTTCGCTCTTGCCTATTTAAGGTGAGTGTTGTCTTTGGGCAAAACTCTGAATAATTCCATAGTCTGTGTGGCTGTGGCTGGACTGTGGGTGTCTGTGTGTTCACAGCCCGCCCTCCCTGAGGAGTGTGTGTCTGCGCACCTGAGCGTGGAGTCGGTCTCGGGGACGCCGTGTGTTTATGGGTCTGGGGGTGCCTTGCTTAGTTCTGTGCGGATCCACGTGGGCGTCTCTCCCCAGGCGCAGCTGGGTGCTGGGCATGCGCGCTGGGCCCGCACACCTGCCGGAACTGTGGCCTTGCGATCCGTGGGGAGCAGAGTTGTGCCCAGGGCAGAGGTGCCACACCCTCCCCGAGCTGAGCTCCCGTTCTCCTGGGAACCAGCCGGTGAGCGAGCAGACCGAGAGTAGACTGCGTCAGGAGCACCGGCCCCTTTTGCAACCAGCCCAGCCCCCAGGCGGTAACCGCAGAGCACAGGTCAGACCTGCCCCCTGAGCCTGCTGCCAGGAAACCCGCTCCCAGCAGGGCTGCGCAGTCAGCGTCCTGCTTGGGCCTGCGCCAGGTCCCCCGGTGAGCGGAACCCAGCGGAGGGGCCGCATTAGTCACCGCGTGGCGACCGCGGGGCCCGGCCAGCGCTGCTTTCTTTGGCAGCCCTCGACCCCCATGGCTGTCTTCCATCCCGAATGCACACTAGGGCCAGTGGTTGGGTGAGCGCCAGTTTTCAGACACTGAGACTGAAACCCAGAGCCACGTGACCAAACCCTGGGTCCCGGGTTTCCTGACCCTGTTACCCTGTTCTGGGTGTCTTCCCACTGGTCCATGTTGTGTGTGGGGGGGGGGGGGGGGGGAGTCTACCTGCAGAAATGGCTCTCTTAGGAGGAAGGCGGGAGATGTGGCAAGGAGGGGTGGGCTGCACCCAGTCGTGTCCATGTGCCCGGGCTGGCGGTTCGTCTGTGGGCCCACGGTTATCCTAGGCTGTGGAGGGTGGGGCCCCTCCTTGTGGGGTCCCCTAACGGGGCCTGAAGGATTGGCCCCATAACTGGGACGATGGTGGACTTCATCGGCGGCCCCTGGATGTTTCCCAGACTGAGCCGGCGCTCCGTTATCAAAGCGAGCTTGTGGTCCCACGGCCTGTAACCCCTCGGGAAGGTGGGCCCAGTCATTGTCCCCAGCCCTGCAGCCTCCAGGACCCCTACCTGTATAACGGGCCTCCCTCACCAGATGTTTAGACCATGGCGTTGGCAGTGAGGGCACAGGTGTGGCCGGAGGGAGCTGGCAGAAGAGCACAGAGCCCACCAGGGCACTTCCTCCTCCGGGCCTGTGTTCTGGGCGTGCCTGCCACCCCAGTGCCCCGTGCCAGCCAGCAGAGATGGCTTCTCTCCTCATTCCTGAGACTGGGTATGTTTATTTCTGTCCCCCAACCCTGGCCAGCAGGCTGAGTGCTCCGCGGCTCCACTCCCCGTCCCATGGGGCCTTGGAGACTCAGCCTCCCGTTCCAGCCCCATCCTGACCTGCTCGGTGACTCTGGGCAAATTACTGCTTTCCTCCCTGTCTGAGCGGCTCCCAGGTTGAGAAGTGGAGCTGATAGGCTCCGCCCCTCCCTGACTCCCAGGGGACTTCAGGGATGAGCAAGATAACAAGCAGCTGGGAACTGATGCAGGAAGCTCTCAGAGCCAAGAGAGGGCTCCGTGCCGGCCTGTGTTTACCTGGGTGTGGGCCCTCGGTTCCCAGCCTCCTGGGGCTCAGGACCAGCCCTGACAGCTTCTTGGCTCGCGAAGCCTTTGTCCCATTTCCAGAGAAAGGACAGAAAGCAAAGCCAGGAACCCAGTCGTGTGGAGCAGGTGAGACTTGTCGAGCACAGAGTCTGGGCTCAGGAACGCCGGCTTCCTGGCCTGGCTGTGTCCCCAGCCACTGGCTGGGTGACCTTGGGCAAGTCACAGCCCCGCTCTGGGCCTCTGCGCCTCAGGCTCTGGCGGCCCCCTCCCCCCCAGCCTGTAATCTGAGTCAACCTCGTGATCTGGGGACAGAAAGGATCTTGTCGGGCCCTGCGTTGTGGCACAGCTGCCTGTGTCTGTGGTGTGAGAATCAGCCTCACCTGTCCTCTCGAAGGGTGGACCGAGACTCAGAAGTTCAGCGAAAGCGAGACTTTGTTAACCAATCTTGCAGGCCCGGCGCCTGGGGGGCCAGCACAACCTGGGGTCCTTGACAGCAAACCATTTATTTCCTAGCACGCAGGTCCCTTCCCCCCGGGTCCTCACTGGCTGAGTAACTACAGGGTTACAATCTTCCTGGCGCTGGCTTCAACTGTTTTGGTCACTAATGTCCTGTTTGCTTAAGGACCTTCAGGTGTGTGTAACCTGTTTCCTTCTCACACACGGCATCCCCTGTGAAGCGCTGCTTCAAGTCCCGGCTGCTCCACTTCCAACCCAGCTCCCTGCTGACGCACCAGGGAAGATAGCAGAGGATGGCCCAAGTGCTTGGGCCCCTGCTGCCCACATGAGAGACCCAGAAGGAGTTCCAGGCTCCAGGCCTGGCCCACCCTGGCTTTGTGGCCATCTGGGGAATAAACCAGCAGATGGAAATAAATAAATAAATATATATATATATATAAATAAAGATGATCTTGTCATTGAGTCCAGCACTTTTATGCTTTATAAAGCACGATGGGCCCCCTCTTTGGTCAGCCTGGTTAACCCAAGGCCATGACTCACTGCCAAGGGGATCCTGCTGATGAGGGCCAGTGGTTCAGAGAGAGCCCTGTGGGGACACAGCTCCCAGGGAGCTCCAGGCTCAGCGGGGCATCCTTTATTCCATTAGTTTTTTGTGTTTTAAATTTTTCTAAAAATTTATGTTTATTTGAAAGGCAGAGAGAGAGAGGGAAAGAGGGTGAGGAAGAGAGAGAGAGCATCCCTTGGCTGGCTCTCTCCCCAAATGCCCATGACAGCCAGGCTTGGTCCAGCAGAAGCCAGGAGCTGGGAACTCCATCTGGGTGTCCCCGTGGGTGGCCGAGTACTTGTTGTCCCCTAGGGTGCACATTCTCGGGAGGCTGCACTGGGAGCTGTGCTGGCACTGGAACCCAGGCGTCTATAAGGGGTGCGGGCATCCCGAACACTCAGTGTCTGACTCTGTCTCATGCTGCAGCCTCTCGCTCCTTCCTGGCTTCCCCCACAGCCTAAGGCCCAGCAGCCGCTCTCCTTGCCCACTGTCGTCTGTGGCGAGGGCCAGGGCTCTTCTGTCGGTTCCCTCTACACCTAACAACGGCCTCCACCCCGACTCTGCACTCTGCATAGGTTTGCGCCCTGTCCATCTGCCAATGCTGTGCTCTCTCCGAGCCGGCATGCCCCTGGTCTGGCAGGGTTTGCAGCCCTGTCCCCCTGCAGCTCCCGCTGTGTCCTCTTCGCTCCCAAGGTGCCGGTCTCACCTGCTCGCAGCCGCCTTCTGTCAGTCTGCCCACTGGCTTGCATGGTCACCTCGTCCACCCATGGCCTCGCTCCAAATCCAGGAGCCCCATTGCCTCTGCAAAGTGTAGAATGTGCACCCCCACCCACCCAGGATGCACCTGTAGGGCCCAAGGACTGCAAAACTCACAGGTTTGGGGTGAGCATTTAACCAGTGGGTAAGATGCCCACGGCCCACAGCTGCCTACCTGGGTTCAATACCAGCCCTGGTTCCTGACTCCAGCCTTCTGTGGTGGTGGCTCCAGTAATTAGGTTCCTGCCACCAACATGGGAGACCTGGATTGAGTGCCTGGCTCCTGGCTTTGGGGAGTGAGCCAGTGGATGGGGTCTCTCCCTCTACTGGCTTTCTCTCTCTCTGTCTCCATGCCTTTCAAATAATTTTTAAAAATGTCTAGGTTTTCACCCCACTCACCATCTTATTTTATGTCCCATCTTGTTTAAAAAAACTTGTTCACATTTTATGTCCATGGTATCTCATAATTTATGGCCCTTTTAAGCTCCCTTAAATCCTTCCCATAAGCCACCAAAAGGTAAGGAACTGGTAATCTATCCATCCATCAGTCAGCCCAGTCTGCCCCTCACCTTCTACCTGCTTCTCCCGAAACCACACCCTCCCTGGTGTTTCGGTTGGTGGCTTTGCTTCCCGGGACAGAAGCCCACAGGCTGTGCTGACTCATGCTGGCCCTTGGCGTACTTGGCCTCACCAAGTCTCAGAAGTGTGCCTTCCCCTAGTGTCCAGGGCTGTGCCTTCCTCTCCACAACCCCCACCCCACTGTCTGTGCCCCAGCTCAGAGCTTTGTGGCTTGATTGTTTCCTTAAATGTATATATGCTTATTATATATAATATACATATTTACATATACATTTTTATATATGAATACTTTTTTTTGACAGGCAGTTAGAGAGAGAAAGAGACAGAGAGAAAGGTCTTCCTTTTCCGTTGGTTCACCCCCCAGATGGCTGCCACAGCCGGCGCGCTGCGCCGATCCGAAGCCAGGAGCCAGGTGCTTCCTCCTGGTCTCCCATGCAGGTGCACGGCCCAAGCACTTGGGTCATCCTCCACTGCACTCCCTGGACACAGCAGAGAGCTGGACTGGAAGAGGAGCAACCAGGACAGAATCCAGGGCCCCAGCTGGTACTAGAACCCAGGGTGCTGGCGCTGCAGGTGGAGGATTAGCCTAGTGAGCCGCGGCGCCGGCTGAATACTTTTTCTTATTACAAAAGCAATGGCTAGTCATTGTAGAACAAGAAGAAAATGCAGATTTACATAAAGAAGAAAATAAAAACTGTAACTTTATCAATGGGAGAGAACCTTGTGGGCAGTTGGGTAAATATGCCTTTTTGGTTTTTGTAATTTGTTTTTCTTCATGTTAATGTTCTGCCTCTCCCCCACCTTTTTACACCACAATAAGAGGCCTCTTTCTTTCCCAGTCTGCTTTCTCAGTCTTCCTGGTTCTGGGCTCTGCAACCCCCGGAGGTGCTGCAGGGCAGGAGGAAGTGG